ATTATAGACCGGTTTTTCTGTTGTCACAATTTTCAAAAATCTTGGAAAAACTCTTTAATAACAGATTAGATACATTTATTGATAAACATAAAATCCTCTCTGATTGCCAGTATGGTTTTAGGTCGACCCGGTCGACATCTTTGGCCATGACCGACCTGATGGAGGACATTACAAGTGCTATGGATGAGAAGAAAATCATGATAGGGATATTTATTGACCTAAAAAAAGCATTTGACACAATCGATCATGAATTATTAATGGAAAAGTTAGAAAAATATGGGATCAGAGGAATGGCTCTGAAATGGATTAGAAGTTATTTGACACAGAGGCGTCAATTTGTGAAGTTGGGTGAATACCAATCGAGTGAGGATATTGTATGTAGAGTGCCTCAGGGTTCAGTTTGTATATTATACATTAACGATATATGCAAGGTTTCTGATTTAGTGAAAGTGGTCTTATTTGCTGATGACACTACCATATGGGCATCCGGGGAAAACCTGCAGCAACTCTCTGGACGGGCTTCACAGGAACTTGAGAAGATAAAGAAATGGTGTGATAGTAATATTCTGTCTCTGAATCTGGATAAAACTAAATTTATAGTATTTGGGAATCGTGGATTCGCAAATACCAAAGACTGTTGTGTTTATGCATAAAGCCAGGAACAATTTATTACCTGGTGGAATTCAAAAACTATTTAATGAAAAGGAAGGGGGATATAATTTTAGGGGTCAGTTAAATTTTAAAATTCATGCTATACGTACAACCAAAAAAAGATTCTGTATTTCCAAAAGTGGGGTAAAACTATGGAATCATTTAAGTGTGGACATAAAAAATAGTAATTTTGTGGATATGTGTGAAATTATGTGTATTGACATATCGACCATCTTTACATGCAAATGAAAATCGGGGGAGCTAATATAGAACGAGTATATAAAATTAAATTTCTAGGTGTCATAGTTGATGACAAATTCGCCTGAAAATCTCATATCAGATATATTCAGCACAAAATAGCAAAAAAATATATCAATATTGGCAAAGGTTAGATATATTTTGGATGGGAAAGCACTACGTATTTTGTATTCTTCATTGATTTTACCATACTTAGAGTATGGCGTTGAAAACTGGGGAAACACATACAGTGCCTTGCGAAAGTATTCGGCCCCCTTGAACTTTGCGACCTTTTGCCACATTTCAGGCTTCAAACATAAAGATATAAAACTGTAATTTTTTTGTGAAGAATCAACAACAAGTGGGACACAATCATGAAGTGGAACGAAATTTATTGGATATTTCAAACTTTTTTAACAAATAAAAAACTGAAAAATTGGGCGTGCAAAATTATTCAACCCCCTTAAGTTAATACGTTGTAGCGCCACCTTTTGCTGCGATTACAGCTGTAAATCGCTTGGGGTATGTCTCTATCAGTTTTGCACATCGAGAGACTGAAATTTTTGCCCATGCCTCCTTGCAAAACAGCTCGAGCTCAGTGAGGTTGGATGGAGAGCATTTGTGAACAGCAGTTTTCAGTTCTTTCCACAGATTCTC